CGCAATGACGGTAAGAGACTCGCCTGCTCCTGCGATGTCCGGCTGCTCCCTCCGCGTCCCCCAGACAGCTGCATCCCGACCTCTTTGCACTGCCTGGGACCTCGCTGCTCTGACGTGTTCTCCCCTCGCACGGAGCCCTGTGCCCGTCGCACGGAGCCCTGTGCCTCCGCACCGTGGTCCTCCCCTCGCACGGAGCCCTGTGCCCCCGCACCGTGCTCCTCCCCTCGCACGGAGCCCTGTGCCCCCGCACCGTGCTCCTCCCCTCGCACGGAGCCCTGTGCCCCCGCACCGTGCTCCTCCCCTCGCACGGAGCCCTGTGCCCCCGCACCGTGCTCCTCCCCTCGCACGGAGCCCTGTGCCCCCGCACCGTGCTCCTCCCCTCGCACGGAGCCCTGTGCCCCCGCACCGTGCTCCTCCCCTCGCACGGAGCCCTGTGCCCCCGCACCGTGCTCCTCCCCTCGCACGGAGCCCTGTGCCCCCGCACCGTGCTCCTCCCCTCGCACGGAGCCCTGTGCCCCCGCACCGTGCTCCTCCCCTCGCACGGAGCCCTGTGCCCCCGCACCGTGCTCCTCCCCTCGCACGGAGCCCTGTGCCCCCGCACCGTGCTCCTCCCCTCGCACGGAGCCCTGTGCCCCCGCACCGTGCTCCTCCCCTCGCACGGAGCCCTGTGCCCCCGCACCGTGCTCCTCCCCTCGCACGGAGCCCTGTGCCCCCGCACCGTGCTCCTCCCCTCGCACGGAGCCCTGTGCCCCCGCACCGTGCTCCTCCCCTCGCACGGAGCCCTGTGCCCCCGCACCGTGCTCCTCCCCTCGCACGGAGCCCTGTGCCCCCGCACCGTGCTCCTCCCCTCGCACGGAGCCCTGTGCCCCCGCACCGTGCTCCTCCCCTCGCACGGAGCCCTGTGCCCCCGCACCGTGCTCCTCCCCTCGCACGGAGCCCTGTGCCCCCGCACCGTGCTCCTCCCCTCGCACGGAGCCCTGTGCCCCCGCACCGTGCTCCTCCCCTCGCACGGAGCCCTGTGCCCCCGCACCGTGCTCCTCCCCTCGCACGGAGCCCTGTGCCCCCGCACCGTGCTCCTCCCCTCGCACGGAGCCCTGTGCCCCCGCACCGTGCTCCTCCCCTCGCACGGAGCCCTGTGCCCCCGCACCGTGCTCCTCCCCTCGCACGGAGCCCTGTGCCCCCGCACCGTGCTCCTCCCCTCGCACGGAGCCCTGTGCCCCCGCACCGTGCTCCTCCCCTCGCACGGAGCCCTGTGCCCCCGCACCGTGCTCCTCCCCTCGCACGGAGCCCTGTGCCCCCGCACCGTGCTCCTCCCCTCGCACGGAGCCCTGTGCCCCCGCACCGTGCTCCTCCCCTCGCACGGAGCCCTGTGCCCCCGCACCGTGCTCCTCCCCTCGCACGGAGCCCTGTGCCCCCGCACCGTGCTCCTCCCCTCGCACGGAGCCCTGTGCCCCCGCACCGTGCTCCTCCCCTCGCACGGAGCCCTGTGCCCCCGCACCGTGCTCCTCCCCTCGCACGGAGCCCTGTGCCCCCGCACCGTGCTCCTCCCCTCGCACGGAGCCCTGTGCCCCCGCACCGTGCTCCTCCCCTCGCACGGAGCCCTGTGCCCCCGCACCGTGCTCCTCCCCTCGCACGGAGCCCTGTGCCCCCGCACCGTGCTCCTCCCCTCGCACGGAGCCCTGTGCCCCCGCACCGTGCTCCTCCCCTCGCACGGAGCCCTGTGCCCCCGCACCGTGCTCCTCCCCTCGCACGGAGCCCTGTGCCCCCGCACCGTGCTCCTCCCCTCGCACGGAGCCCTGTGCCCCCGCACCGTGCTCCTCCCCTCGCACGGAGCCCTGTGCCCCCGCACCGTGCTCCTCCCCTCGCACGGAGCCCTGTGCCCCCGCACCGTGCTCCTCCCCTCGCACGGAGCCCTGTGCCCCCGCACCGTGCTCCTCCCCTCGCACGGAGCCCTGTGCCCCCGCACCGTGCTCCTCCCCTCGCACGGAGCCCTGTGCCCCCGCACCGTGCTCCTCCCCTCGCACGGAGCCCTGTGCCCCCGCACCGTGCTCCTCCCCTCGCACGGAGCCCTGTGCCCCCGCACCGTGCTCCTCCCCTCGCACGGAGCCCTGTGCCCCCGCACCGTGCTCCTCCCCTCGCACGGAGCCCTGTGCCCCCGCACCGTGCTCCTCCCCTCGCACGGAGCCCTGTGCCCCCGCACCGTGCTCCTCCCCTCGCACGGAGCCCTGTGCCCCCGCACCGTGCTCCTCCCCTCGCGCCGTCTCCATGGTGACGCCTTCACTCCCCAGACTTGTACATGGTGACCCGCACCGTGAAGGAGGCCTCCGGGCTGCAGTCGGTGTCCAGCTCACTCTACCTGCGCCCCAGCAAGGCTGAGAAGGACGCCCAGTTCCAGTGCCTGGTGCAGTACCCGTTGCCCCGGGGGCAGGTGGGCAATCACACCTCGGAGCTCTTCAGCCTGGTGCTGCACTGTGAGTATCCCCCCTTCCCCGGGGGCCTGACCCTGACTCCCGCCCCGGGACTGGGAACCACCCCTGTGGTGGGCAGCCACGCGCAGGGACAGAGACCTTGGTCAGCCAGTCCCGCCTGCGAGCCGCAGCCGCTAGGTCTCTGCACTCGCACGCACGTGCAAGGGCCTCCTCCTAGTGCACACGCCTGGCGGGGTTCACGTGCAAATGTAGGAGCACCTTCCGACTTGCTCAAAGGCCGTCGCACCATCCGGGAAGCAAGCGACGCTGGTGAGGAGCGGCCGGGTCGGGGTCGGGGGAGGGACGGCAGCTGTTACCTACACAGCACTGGATTGGCCGGGGCCGGGGCTGGGGAGGAGGGTCCAGGGGCAGGCTGCCCC